TAATATCAATAATATTATTAATATATTTATAGATAAATTAATAATTTGATGAATATATCTTGGTATATATTAATATATTTTTGCAAAAATATAAATATATTAAATAAAATATATAATAAAAAAATTAGAAATATGCATATCTTATCATTTCTACAAACAATGGCATTGTATGTAACCATAGAATCACGGGTTAAACAGAACCAGTTTATAGTGAATATTTCAATTTTCACTCTGCCCGAGGTTGCAACAAACCTTTTTTTTTAAGAAAATGCATTAACACACTGCACTATGCTGCAGGTGACCACGTCACCACACCCCTCTAGTAGAATACTTATTTTGAAAATAAAAAATAAAACAAAAATCAGGTGACTTGACCACACCTCTATATCAAAATACTTACTTTTTAAAATGAAAATAAATCAAAATTACCCAGCACAAGACTCCAAAATGTTGTTTTGGATATTTAGGAAGTTAATAAATTAAAGTATCTAATTGTTTTGTAAATGAATTGTTTTTTTTAAGATATCCCTATTTTAAAAGTAAATATTAAATTACATATAAATTCATACTTACTGTCTTTTTTTTTTTTAATTTCTTTATATAAATAAAAATAAAAGTATTTTTGTCTAAGACAAGACATAAATCCAATTAAATGTGATTATTTAACATTTTAATAATTACTAAATAACATGTCTTGATACAATTATCTTAAATAATTTGTATAATATATTTTTAATTTATAATTATATACTTAATTATATATATTAATTTATACAGTTCAATTAATTTATAATTCAGTTATTAGTATTATATTGACTATATACTTTTTTAACTTATTTAAAATATAATATAATTTTTTTATTGAAATTTATAAATATATAATACTTATGATACGAATAATTTTAAAAAAATACTTAATAAAAATCAGATTATATGATTAAAATTGAACTATTTAATCCTTGACTTAGTGTGTTTGGTTTTCTTTTTGTAATGCAATTTTTTTTCTCTCTCCACATCTAATCTTCTCGCTACGTTGGAGGCACCTCAAAGGTGGGATAGCTGGTCCCAAGATTTAACGTGGCTGCATATATAAGGTAGGATTTGAACCCCTGACCTTGCTTAAACATGGATCAACCTCTACCGCTGAACTAAATATTTTCTCTCTCCACATCTAAATATGAATTTATGTGAAAATTAATATTTATTACTTCAAGTTAAACGTGAAAATTCACTTCAAGACTCGAATGTAAACAGACTATTAGTATTTTGACCAATTTAATGATTAGTCCAAAATCCAGAAAAACATATAAACATATAATTGATTATGTTTGAAATATGATTTTTTATGTATTCAAAACTATTTTGACTTCAATTAATTATTTTAGCAAACGGTAATTGACTAATTTAATTCATGATATTAATTTTTTTTATTTAATTCAATTAAAATCAATTAAAAAAATTATGCTGCCTATATTTCTCTTCTAATTTTTTTTCCTACAAAACAATATCAAATTTTACTTTATTTATTACGTATTCTGTTTTTCCTGAATCCTCATTTTTACCTCTATTTCTTTCTTCTATGCAGACGACAATAAATAACAGCTCTATAATGAGTAAATCAATGCACTCAGAATTATATAGTCCTTAGAATTCATGGTCTATTACATACATGCCATCTTTTAAGAAATGCTGATAGAAAGTAACGGCCAAAATTTTCTTTGCTTGTTCAACCACTAATATTCCAAAAAAACAAAAAACAAAACGAAAAAACTTATACACTTTTCTGTATATTTGCTCACCTCAATATATGAACCAACCTTCTCAAATCTCAATATATTCCTTCTTCTTTTTTTTTTTACTATTTTCTCACCACTACTTCTCTTCCCTTTTTCTACGATTGAAGTTTCATTTAGTCCGAAGCCAGAGTCATCTGACACATAGGTACGAGTCAGGGTACCGCGTCAACAACACGCTGTGTTTCAGCTTCATTATCAAAGCGAATATGCCATAGCACGGAATATGCAGCAATGCCATGGAAAAGTAACTGAAAATCAATTACAAGCCAGTGAGAACAGTTTATGAGAATCAGATACCTTAGAAGCACTAGAAGCATGAATAAAATGAGAAGGAAAAGAAAAATAACATACCATAGTGGAGCATATCGGGACGACAAATCAAGAAATGGATATGGCCACCTGTTTTCAAGGACAAGATGCATATATTAGATAATGATGCATAAGATGTTTCCATACAGGTTCATTGGAAAAAAAGAAAAAAGTTATTACCAGAGTTTAACAAAAGCATGAACAATCCACTGGAAAATCACGTATGTGATTGTCCACATGCAAAAGTATCCTATTCGAAACCAAGGGAACCTCTGAAGAGAATAAAAAATAAAGGGTGAGAATTTGAATATGCATAAGCAATGGAAATGGACAATTAAATGGAATCAAATATAGAAACTCACCAGGGAATTTAAAGCCGTGTCGCCTAGCAGGAAAACAGCATTGATGGTGTGCATACTTATGATTAGCTGCCACGTGATAATTTCATTTATGATTTAGCTCTTAAGACTTATCTTTTTTTGGTATGAAAAGGTACGCGTATATTAATATAACACAACCATCTATGCTTGAGTTATAAAAGAAAATTATACATGGTACTTACCAAATTTATGTTGTAATCTTTGACGGATAGAAACGGAACAATTATGAACCAAAACACACAATCTGTGAGCATTACAGCACCTGCATTCATCTGTTCACAAGCGGGGAAAACAAAAAACAATTTAGGTAGCCAATGGCAAAAGCTGTACTAATTAAACGTGATGTTTGGTTAAAACTTGAAAATGTTAATGAAGGGTTAAAAAGATAAGGATATACTAAAAGTTGAGTTCATCACTAATTAAAGTTATACTAAACCAATGATCTACTTCAAGTTCACCTGGAATATTATTTGAAAGATATAGCCCCAGGTGCCTGCAGGTTGGCGAACAAGATGTTCTTGTGGGGCTCCTAAGCCTTTTTCATGAATGGAGGGATTAGAACTCTGTGGGGGTGTAGGAGCATCATAAATTCCTTGCTCTGTATCTCCATCAACATTTCCAACCTTATCACCGCTGGTTTTTTTATGATGTTGATAACATCCATGCATGGAGAGCAAAGATCCCAGCTACAACATCAAACATACAATGTCAGTGTATAGCGAGATTAAACACTAGATTATAGACATGAGTAACATAACTAACGGAAAATTATATATTAGGCCATTTATAGAAGCATTTACCCCAAAATAAATGGTGATTGCAGCAAAAGTCCACCTGTTTCAAACCAACAAAAATCAATAATTAATCAAATGCCATAAAATAAATCTCTGACAGCTTAATCAGGTAGCAGCTTCCATTGACATCTCAAATCAGGTAAAAAAAAAAAAAAAGCACTTGTTATCTTAGACACAATCAAACCAACGATCACAAATGGATTATAAAAGCTTCATTAATTCCAAGAGAAGAGGACTGATTGCACTGCTACAAATCCCATCATCAAGAAAAACAGCTAGCTTCGTTTTGGTTTGAGATTAATAAACTAAATGTTTAATAAGCTTTCAAATTTTTGTTTCAGCCACAGGCTTTTGCTTTCATGTTCCATAGCAACAACGTAGGTGATGTTTAAAACAGAACTATACACACACACACAGGCCTAATTTGCATGAATTTCTACACAAACAAGAAAAAACAAAAAAGTAAAATAAATCAAACTTCTATCTGAGTTAAAAATCAAGCTATACATTTTAGCTTTTGAAAAGTTGGATGAAAATTTCAAAACTCAATTTTAAGATAGAAATATGATTTATTTAACCTGAGAGACCCTGTCCATACAATGTGCCTTAATCCATTTTAAGAGCATTCAAATTTAGACAGAAAGAAATTCAAAAGGGAATGAAAAACATACTGAGTATAAAAGTAGAAAATGCTTCCTCCGTCCGCAGTAGCAGTGAGTATGAGAAGCACCAAAAGCACAACAAATGCAAAAACTCTAAACCCCAGCAACCACACAGGGTGGATTCCTTTCAAGCAAGGCCTCCAAACTTCATCCTCATACAAAGTCCACGACTTTTCTCTCTGCCTTTCCTTGTTATCATCCCTTGCTACCTTCCGTGAAACTTCAAACCTCAATATAATCAATAATGAAACGATAGCTGAAATCAGAACCCAAATGGCACAAACCAAAACCCTCCAATTCAGCCAGTAACTCTTCATGGTTGTATCCGAAGTCACGATGGGTTGCCACGTGCCTTTGGGAGAGCCTGTCACAAACCTCATTTCCTTACTTCAGATTTTCTCACCGTAAAATAGATTTTGTTGTTAATATTGTTATGCTTCTTCCCCTTACGAAATGTCAACAAAACAATGCATTGAAGAACGAAACTAAACTAAACTAAGCAAAGGAGAGAAGTCGAGAACTATTCAATGTGATCAAAAGTGGGGCCTAATATGAAAGACATATGACATGGGTTTGTCATGATGCATTTCAAAATAGGAACAGTTGAAAAAGTGTTGGGCCAGGAAGAACTAAAAGGTTGAACTCTTGACCGAGATTAACTAATGGTTTAATAGTAGGATAAGGTGGAGATTCCAATTAACTTTGGGTGGATTTTGCACAGAAAGATGCAACCGACAATGTTAATTGTACGTTAATCGGTCTATAAAGGAAAAAGAGGCAGCTAAGAACTGTGGTGTGGTGTGGTGTGAGTAAAGAAAAGGTTGAATTGAAACTTGCAAGGGAAAGCAAAACAATGTGGAGGAGCGAGAAGAGATGCTTTGCTTTTGTATATAGAAAACTATTAAAGGTTATATAGACTATAGAGAGAGAATGGAAAGAAAAAGATGGTGGTGAGCTTGGAGCACAAGCTTCTTCTCTCACTTTTTTTTGTTATCCAACCAGAATCTGGTTGCAGCCTTGACGTGCTTATTCCCATGCAAAATTTAAACTAGTAACGACCCAAAAGACATGCATGTTTCTGTGAACCCTTCTCGGGCTAAGGATTTTATTATATTTCTTTTTTAGCGACACAGAAAAGGGACCAGAGACAGGGTACAATCGTATTTGGATTTTGTATTGGGATGCTTGGAGCAAGATGCTTCATGTATTTCAAGAACGGGTTTGCCTCGCATGAGTCATGGCTTGCTCAAAAAGAAATAAAAGTGATAGCTACCGATAAAGGGATCACTGGGCAAAAAAGAAGTAAAATATTTTTTTATTGGTTTTTTTCATATGACATTTACCTTTTAAATAATTATATTTTTTAACCATGATATTAATACAAAGAATTTATTATAGAAAGTGATTAGTTTTCATTAGAGATTATGAACGCCCATAAAATAAGTATTTTTATATTTAAGATTACAATTATAAGTTGTTATTATATGAATTGACTAATATTTAGTTAAACAATCATATTATGATTGTTATAAAAAAAATTCAACATCCATATATATATAATATAGTTCTATTTAATATCTCAATTCAAAGTTATTAGTTGAATTTTATGGAATGACTAATCTCCTTTAAAACTACAAAAGTACATAAGTATTTTTTTAACATAATTTATTGTATATTTAAAACCAAGAGAATCCTAAACAACTTAGCTAAACCAGCACAACTCAACGTTTAGTATTTATTAAAATGGTTTGATTTCACGGGTTAAAAACATTTGACCCTACGTTTATGAATTTATTTTTGTTACATATCAAAGTGGTTGTAGCTCTTAGAGATTAAAACATGTATTTATATTAAAATGTAAAGACTAAAACAGGATTAAGATTGCTTTTTAAAAAAATCAACATTAAATTTTGATTAATATAAAATATATTCTGAGAGATTAAAAAAAAAAGGAGAGCCGAAAAGAAGATAAATGCTGATCAAGGGGATAAAGGTTTGCTACCAATGATATGAAAAATAATTATTATGATTCAAATGTAGATAGAATGTGTATTGGGCGGGTCCATATTACAATTAGGGAAACATTGTGTGATTGGCAATCATCAAAGAGTGAAGTGCATGGAGAGGAAGCAAGCAGCCACCGTGTTATCCCTTAAAATGAAGTAAAAAAGATGAAATTGATGCCTCAGTTGTCTCTTATTGATCTATGTATGAATGTAATTAAAGTGCTATTAAATGTGCATAGAGTTTAAATTGAAATACCACTTTACTACTAATTAAAAAAAATAAATAAAAAAAAATGTAAGGACATGGACACTTGATGGGCCCCACGGGTGAGAGCAGGCTTGACTCGTAGTAGTCGGGCGGTGGCTACGAATGGGGTGTTTCTGACTCTTGACAACTGGAGGATGCTAATTTTGGTAAAGGTTTGGTTTAGAAGTGCCAAACACGTTTTGTGAGAATTGCTACATGTTCCGAAAAACCAATCCAATCAGCCTTTCAAATTATCAAAAATTTATATTTTTAAATAAGTTTATTATAATTTAATTATTTAATTTAATATTTTATATTTTAAATTATTTTTTTAAGGATTCAAAATTCGTTTAGATGGTTTTGGAATATCTTGAATTTTTCCGTTTCTGCCAGACTTCCTATGCATAGATATGAGGTTAGGAGAGAGACGAAGGGTGAAGAAAGCTAAGACGATAATTTGTAGAGATGAGAAAAGTAGGAGAATATTGATGACTTTATTTAAATAAGATCCTTTCTTTTTTATTTTTTACCTTCATAAGATTATTTAAGTGATAAAAACCACTCTATTTCATTTGGTTCAAGAATTAATAAAGTTAAACTATATATAATTCTCTAAATTATTTTTATAAAAGTTATTTTTAATAAACAGTAATTGTAAGACTTGTTTTAAAGCACGAGAGGTTTATTTGGTACTCTAAGTCTTGTCTATATTAAAATAATATTTATAATTTTCACAATTTAGCCTTTGATTGTCAATGTCTATAAAACAAAGTAAAAATAGCTAAATGTTTTAAAGTGGTCAAGCATATAAGTTAGTTAAACTCATTTTACTTTTGTAATTGAATATGAAGCCATGTTGTCGACATCAATTTTTTTTATTTTTTATATTTCGTCCCTTTTAACTAAGATTATCAACTCACATAATTAATAGATTTTTCTCTTTAAGAGGAGAGAAAAAGAAGGAGGGATAAATAAAAATAAAATAAGAAATGGAAAGAAAGAAAGTACAGGATATTTTTAAGAAACTTAATAAAAGAGAGAAGGAGAAAAACCCTTTCTACACATGTTGACTATAAAAGTCATGCATGTTTTCATTTCTATTAACATCGGCAAGAAAAATCAAAACGTAGAAAGTTTTGAGAGAATGAATCTCATTATTTGTAGGTAGAGATAAATTCTTTTGGGAGAAAAACCCAAAAGAAAGTTTAGTCACCAATATTTTTTTGTAAGATTGTTATTACAACTTTTGTAATTCTATTAATTTATAATTGAAGATATTTTCGTTATGTGAATATACATAATGTGGGAAAAATTTTGATCCAATGATTATCAAGTATCCGTTGACCTTGTATAATGTGATTATATTTAATATCTTTCCCAACAAGTGGTATCAAAACTTTGACTTATTATGTAATTTAACTTGATTTATTCACGATGGACGAGTCAATCTTGATGTCCTCAACAATAATGATTAAGTTAACCTTTTCAAATTACTCTTTTGGAAGTCTAGAATGGAGGACATCCTCTACTACAAAGATTTGTAATAGTCTTTGCAAAATAAAGGGACAAAGCCAATCGATAAGTTTGATGATGACTAAAATTTGATGAATGGGAAAATTGTTGGACAAATTTAGCAATGGATAAATCAAAGTTTCTTTCATCACTGGCATAAGAAACAATTGTGTTCACATTATAGACAAAACTATAAATGTTATACAAGAGAAAGACGACCTAGAATAAAACATGTACTATTTGACAATTAGTGAACAACAAGTATAAAGAGACTCAAAGTGTTTTTGAACATTTAAGCGTTTTTCAAGGATTACTAAATCGAATCACCAATATGAAGATGGTGCTTGATGATGAATTGCAAGCATTATTACTACTTAAATCCTTGCCAAACAATTGGGACACACTTGTGGTTTCATTGAGTTACTCACTATAAGGTGTTCTAACATTGAACATACTAAAAGATAACATGTTTAATGAAGAAAGGAACAAGGAATGTTGATAGAGTCTAAGGCACTTGTCATTAAGTATCATGGAAGAAGCATCCATAAGAAGCTCAACACTAAAGACAAGTCAAGGGCAAGATAAGAGATAAGTTCAGAGTAGGGATGGCAAAAATACCCACACCCGCGGGTATCTGCGGGTAAAATCCGGTACGGATAATAAATGGATAGGCTAATTGGGTACCCACGGATAATGGGGACGGATAATTTTTTACCCGTTTATAAACGGGGCAGGGGCAGGTATGATGATATCCATACTTGCAGATACCCGTTTAATAATATTTCTTAAATATCCTAATTATCCTTGTACCACATAACTCTAAAACTACACTCTCATCTTATTTTCTTTCCATAAAATTATGTTAGATGTAATTTGTTTAATTTTCTAGTTTTGATTGGACCAATAAGATTTATGTATTTTAAATTGTTTACTTTTGTTTGGAATTATGGGATTAAATTATTGTAGCTTTGTCATATGAGACTTTCACTTGTGTGATATTGATGTATTTTAAGTTATTGATTATTTTGCATTTTTATTATTATTTCAATAAAATTATTGTTAAATAGAAGTTCAAAATTAACATTGAATTTTTATTTTTAATGTTTCAATGACATTGAATATAAACTTAAAATTATTTGTAATATAATTTTTTTAATTTCTTAAAAAAATTATAAATAGCCATGGATATCCATGGATATCTGTGAGTATTCAAGAAATTTGTAGATACCCGCTTAATGGATATCCGCGTGAATATGGGGTGGGTATGGGGCCAATTTTCATCTAGTGGGGCAGGGATGGGTTTACTATTACCCGTCCTCATGGGCCCCATTGCCATCCCTAGTTCAGAGGAAGGTGGAGGATAAGAAGAGACGTAGAGTGTTACTAATGTCATGAGAAAGGACAAGTAAAGAGAGAATGCAATAAGCTCAAAAGAAAGCAACAAGAAAATGGTGATGCAAGTAACGTAGCTGCTACCATTTTTCATGGCAATGAGGTAATCTTTGTTTGCGACGATGGTCATGTTAATTTGACATCACAAGATACATGTTGGGTCATGGATTCTAGTGCATCATTTTATGTAACCTCATAAAGGGATTTCTTTTCCTCCTATACAAACGATGATTTTGGTCATGTAAGGATGAGGAATGATAATAGATCCAAAATTGTGGATAAAGGAGATGTTTGCCTAAAAACAAACACTAGTTGTTGCCTAACGTTGAAAGATGTGAGACATGTTCTTGACACACGTCTCAATCTAATATGTACATGCCTACTAGATGAAGAAGGCTATATACTAATGTATCTGGGGATAAAAAATGGAAGCTAACAAAAAGTTCCCTAGTGATAACCCGAGGTAAGAAAACATGCACTCTTTATGTGATAGAAGCCAAAGTCAACAATGGTTGCGTTAATGCTCTCGAAGAAGACTCTTAAGTAGAGTTATGGCATAAATGACTTGAACATAAGAGTAAGAAGGGACTTCAAATTCTAGCCAAAAGAGATACATTGGCAAGTGTGAAAGGATAAAAAATATCACTTAAGCCATGTACTCATTGATTGGCTGAAAAGCAACATAGAGCTTCATTTCGCTATAAAGCCCTACATAGAAGACCAAATATTTTATATTTAGTGCATTTTGATGTTTGTGGTCCAATGATCACCATTACTCATGGAGGTGCAAGGTATTTTGTTACCTTTATTGATGACCACTCCAGGAAGGTTTAGGCATATTCCCTCAAAACAAAAGACCAAATGTTTGTAGTATTCAAATAATTTCATGCTAGTGTTAAGCGAGAAACTGGAATTAAGTTAAAGTGTGTTCACACAGACAATGAAGGAGAATTTATAAGAGCTTTCAGGAATTATTGCATGAGTAATGGAGTTTGGAAAGAACGATTTGTTCCAAAGATGCCTCAGCATAATGGAGTGACTAAGAGGATGAACAAAACTATTGTAGAAAGAGTGAGAACATTATTATCTCATGCCAAGTTACCCAAGAGTTTTTGGGGTGAGACTTTGATGATCGTAGTTGAATTGATCAACTTATCCCCTTCAACTTTTATTGAATGGTGATGTTCCAAACAAGTTTTGGACAAGTAAATATGTATTCTACAACCATTTAAAGGTGTTTGATTGTAGATCATTTGTTCATGTTCCAAAAGACGAGAGATCAAAACTTGAATTCAAGTTGAAGGAATGCATATTCTTGGAATATGGAAATGAAGAATTTGGGTATAAACTATGAGATCTTGTTGATAAAAATATTATTAGAATATAGATGTTCTCTTCTTTGAAGACAAGAATATTGAAGATATTCAAAAGAGTGTTAAACATGTTAATTCTAGAGAACATTCAATCAACTTGGTACCAATGACGGTATGAATGAATAGGGATAGGAATAGGCTAGACCTTAAACAGAGGATCCATGACCTAACCTTTTTAAAGTCTGGCTTGGCCCAACCTGCTAAATAAAAAAGTTAGGTTTAGATTTTTAAAAAAGTCTATTTATATAAAAAGGTCAGGCTTAAACCTTATAGAAAAGTTTGTTAGGCCTGATAGGCTAGCCTATTTATTAATATAATATATATATATATATATATATATATATATATATTATTTATACATATTATATTAAAAATATAAATATACAAATAAATTTATAAAACAAAAACAACTTATTAAAATTTAAAATATTTTTTTATACAATTATTTTTTTCATTATAGGTTTTTAAACTTATGACCTATGCATAAGTATACATCAACATACATAGTTACGTATGAATTGTCCTTTCAGCAAAAAATGATTCAATTTTTCTCCTATATTTCTTTTAAAATTTAAATTTTAATAATATTGAGTAAACTATATTTTAAAAATAATTTTGTTAATTTTTAAAATTAAGTTTATTGACCTAATTAACATTAGTAATTTAAATAGGCTTTAAAATAGGTCAGACCAAACTTTAAAAAGGTCAGGTCAGACTAATAAAAAAACCTATGATGAATAATAGGTCAAATTCAAGCTTTAATTTTGTAGAATAGGTTCAGCTTATATATTCAAAGCCCTACCTAGCATATTCACATCCCTATGAATGAAGACTATGAGAAAGAAGAACAAGATATTAAGAGCCCTAGTTAAGAAGCTTAATTAGTTAGGATGCCTAAACCACAAACTAAATATCCGGAAATAAAGTATGTGTTATTCATTGATGGGAGAGAATCAAAGTCTTATGAAGAAGTTATGTTGGATGACCAAAAGCGAGAGTGGTTGAAAGCCATGCAAGAAAAAATGCAATCCTTGCATGAGAACCAAACTTATGAGTTGGTAGAGTTATTGAAAGGTAAAAGAGCAATAAAAAAACAAATAGGTGTATAAGTTAAAGAGTGAGGAGAATAGCTCACAACCTAAGTACAAGGTGAGGTTAGTCATGAAAGGCTTTAGTTAGAAGAAAGGCGTTGACTTTGAAGAGATTTTTTCACCAGTGTTAAGAATGTCATCAATTCAGGTAGTGTTTGGTTTGGCTGTAAGTTTGAATTTCAACGTGGAACAACTAGATGTGAAAATTGAATTTCTTCATGGTAATTTAGAAGAAATTAACATGGAGCAGCCAAAGGGATTCAAAGTCAAAGGATAGGAAGATTTAGTATGTCAACTAAAGAAGAGTCTATATGGACTTAAGCAGACACCATATTAATGATACAAGAAGTATGATTCCTTCATGATTGAACATGGATATCAAAGGACTACTTATGATCATTGTGTAGTTCTAACAAGATTTATTGATGGTGAATTCATCATACTACTTTTGTATGTTGATTATATGTTAATCATAGGACAAAATAGTGAGAAGATCAACAAGTTGACGAAGGAAATGAAAAAGTCTTTTGTTATAAAAGAATTGGAACCCACAAAGCATATTCTTGGTATGTCCATCCGTTGTGATCGGCAGGAACAAAAGTTGTGGTTATCACAAGAAAAATATATATCAAGAAGGTATTGGAGCAGTTTCACATGGAGAAAACAAAGCTAGTTGCTACTAGACTTTCTAGTCACTTTATGTTAAGTTCAAGTCCTACGGGTGAAATTGAAAATGAGGAGATGCGAAAGGTGCCATATGCCTCATCTCTTGGAAGCTTAATGTATGTAATGGTGTACACACGACTAGACATAACACATGTAGTTGGTGTGTAAACAAATTTTTGGCTAAACTAGGAAAAAAGCATTGAAATGTTGTAAAGTGGATATTAAGATATTTTAGAGGAACTTCCAAAATGAGTTTATGCTTTGGAAGTAAAAGACCTGAACTTATTGGCTACATAGATGCAGATATGCTAGGAGACATTGGTTATAGGAAATCTACTTATGAATTCCTGATTACATTTTTAGGGGGAGCGAAAATTACAAAAGTGTGTTGCTTTATCTATCATAGAGACAAAGTTCATTGCAATAACAAAAGCTTGCAAAGAAATGCTATGGATGAAATGTTTCTTGTATGAGCTAGGGCATGAACAACATAAGTGCATCATGCATTGCAATAGTTAAAGCACAATCCAGTTAGCAGGAATTCGAGTTTTCACTTGAGGTTGAAGCACATTGATGTGAGATATCATTGGATATGTGATATATTGGAAATCAAACAATTACATCTTAAGAAATTCCATATTTATGATAATAGCTCACGTATCTTTACCTAATGATAAGTATGAGTTTTGAAGAAGAGTTGTTGGACTGCTAGAGCTCTCCACCTAAATCAAAAAAGGGAGATTGATGGATTTTTCTCTTTAGAAGGAGATATAAATAAAAATATAATAACAAATGGAAAGAAAGAAAGTACGAGAAATTTTTAAAGAATTCAAAAAGATAGGAAAAAAAACCCCTTATCTATGACCATCTATTTTGTTATACATGTTGACCATAAAAGTCATGCATCTTTTCATTTCTATTAACACTTACAAGAGAAACCAAAACAGAAAATTTTGAGAAAGAGAACCTCATTATTTGTAGGTGAAAGATAAATTCTTTTGAGAGAAAAATCCAAAAGAAATTTTAGCCACCAATATTTTTTTAAAGATTATTATTACAACTTTTATAATTCTATTAATTTATTATGAAAGATATTTTTATTGTCTCATTATAATTATATATAATATAAAAAAGTCTAATTTTATGATTATCAATTACCCGTTAACCTTATATAAAGTGATTATATTTGATATCTTTCCCAACATAACAAAGACCCCGAACATTTCTACGTAAACCAATTCATGCACCGCTGATCTTCTAATGCGATGGTCATAGTTTGATAACATTAAAAATTATTAAAATCTATAGCTACTACAATATTTACCTCGGCATCAGCATGGTCCTTCTAGTTAAATTACCTTATCAATTGATTCAATTCTGCTATTGGTTTGGTTTCTATAATATTGATTTCTTTCTTTGTGTTTTCTACAAATTCAATAAAATACAAATGTATGCTGATCGGTTTATTCGTAACAATCGGATATTTTACACTTAATAAAGCAAATAGCCTGCTTTAATACTTTGGAATGGAATGGCGATGAGAATGATAATCATTTAATGTTGCAGAAGGTGATGCTGCAGATTGCAGTTCAATTTCTAAATATTACAACCATCATCATCTCCAAGCAGAGAGAGAGAAAACGGGGCAATGGCCACATTGAATGATCGTGAGCCCACTCTATCAACATGGATCATCTCAAAGTCACCTTCCTGCATTGTTACACAAAAGCCTGGTTTAATCTGGGATATGATGGAAATGCATCTGGAAATCCTTGAATGCTGATTTTCATCTCAAATAATAGAGCAAGCAAATGCAACCAATGAATCCAAATCATTGAGGGTTGATTACAATTTTCCACCAATTTCCATTCTGATGAAGAAACTGGGAGTGTTGCAAGGCTAAAATCATGATGCCAACTCATTTTATAGTAATATTGAAAAGTATTAATTAAATATTGAAAAATAGTATGCAAGTCATGCAACCATGAACCAATCAATCACACTGAAGCATGTCAAACATGGGCTTCGTGGTACCACCTTACTCAAATAAATTCTGAACTGATTACCCTCTGGAAGTTGCAACAACAACAACAACAAAAAATCTTACCATTCTTCCATTTGGTGTGCTCAGTGGGCATGCTGAAGAGTACTCAAAACTATTCCCAGGAAGTATTAATGGCTGTTCACCAACAACTCCAATTCCCCTGTCGTGGAAAATAAAGTACGTAAGTTATGTTGAATTTGAATCCCCATGAGTTTAAAACAAAATAGTCTTTTTTTATCAAGTGTGGTTAACTACCATTGTGTTCTGTCATTGACTATGTGCCCCATGGGTTTAGAAGGAAAAAGAAAAACATTTTAGAAGCATAACAACAATATAGCAAAAGAGAAGAATAATTAACTCACCAGACATTTTCCGTTCTCCCATTGGCATCAGTTATAATCCAATGCCTTCTAAGAAGTTGAACAGGGTGGTCTGAGTTATTGGTAATTCTTATTCTATATGCAAAGAAGTATAGCCCCTTTGAAGGCTGACTTCTACCCTCTATATACACACTCCTAACTTGAACCCTGATTCCCTGAATAAATCACAATTAAATGTAAGACTTCAGATTTTTTTTTTTTTTTTTTTAATGTAAAGTACGTGATATTATCAAAGACAAAATGCCTTGACCCATGGCATACAGTGCAATTGACTTTCCAAGAGAGATACTCAACATTTCCTGAAGATGTGGTATTGAACTAATTAATCTACCAATACAGTCAACTTAAAAGAATGTTTTAAAAAAGGGAAGTTGCTTTCTCGGTTAATTGTATTTCTCTTGAGATAACTTACATCAAGAAAGAACTATCTACGAGACACAAGTATTTAACTTGAAGTAGGATCATACCAGTGTTGTAGCATCACTGGAACATTTTAAAAGAGAGTGTGGGGCAATTTTTTTTAGCTCATCCCGATAACTAGCTGCATCCTAGAAAACAAAAAGAAAGGAGGGGCGACTGTCAAAATGTAAAATTAACAAGGGAATCATACCTTAGAACACATATATAGAAATATAGGTCCGTTTTGTTAATTCAAGATGAAAGATGTGAGGAGTGCTGATCTGATAGAGAATTAGAAAGAAAAATCAATATAGAGGTATGAAAGTTGAGATATGTACTTATTACCAAATTTAATGGTTGAATTGAAGCTTGAAAGAAACTGTGTTTATTGAATTTTGAAAAATTGGATCACAGTCTCAGACACACAAGCATAGTCAAACAAATTTTGAAAGCAGTGTAAATTTGCCATCTATTCTGTCTAACTTATCGATAGGAACGAGTGAGACAACTCAAAATTCAAGAAAGGTGGTGATACCGGCATCTCAAGCACAGAAAGGCAAGAATTATTTATTACATGAGAAACGCTAGTAAGAACAACTCTAATGCAGTTACTTATGCTGGCTCATGAAATGAAGCAATTTGAGAATAATATTGAAACAAATTAGTTTTTATCCTACAAGCAAAATTCCTTAATACAAGAATTTCACATGAGTCTCACTAAATAGAGAGTGAGCCCAAATTAGTTATGAAATTCACCTAATAATAGAAAGTATATTGGAGTGCATTGATCTCACACAGAATTGAAAGAATAATTTAACAAAAGTGGAGCGACACAATCACAATAAATAGAGACCTGGAATCTCTCTTCAGCAACTGCTTCCTTCAACAGTCTCCTGAGACGCAAAACAGGCTCCTCCTCCTCAAACAGCTTCAACGAGTCACGAATTCTAGCCGCTTCCTTGTAATCCTAAAGAAAAGAACCAAAAGATGACGTTTAGTCATTAGCGTTTTGTCTTCCAATTTGAAACAAGAGAGAAACTAAGAAACCTCGGATTTAGCAGCGACATGCAACTGTTGCTTGAGAAGGGCGTAGGTTTGGGTCCTAGAGAGAAAGGAGCTGGTGCTACCACTGTCTCCCTCGGAAGCACACGCTACGACGGCACTCCTTTTTCTCACTCTGGCCTCCGAACCCAGCAACAGAAAATTCGCTAAACTCCCCCGAAGACTCATACTTAACGATAACGATTGCATTTTCCGATCGACGCTTCCTATTCTCCCACCAAACAAATCCTATTTAATCATCCAAATCAAAATCCATTCATCGTACCACACTACACTACTACCTAGTACCAAATTAGCCATCACAGTTATATTTATTATTAGCAAAGTTTCTCACTAGTTTGGTTTTATTTCTGAGAAATTAATTCCAATTTTTAGTTCTTGCTTTGAGTGTTGCTGAGGGTATTATGGAGATTGTACCAAGTTGCAAAATATTCCAGCTTGCAGGTTATGGATTGTTTTGTTTGTTGTATCCGAAATCCGAAACTCTGAGCCACTGCCCATTTTTGTTATGTATGGACAAGAGAAGTACACGTGTCGCAAATATATTAGTATAAGATATTTTGTTGATGGGATTACGAGAAAGGAGAACAGAAAATTCTGTGAATGTTTGCTAATCTCAATTTCCAAACGTGGCTCAACGTTTACCGCGGATCTACACTCTACGTCCCTCGGGTAATACTTACAGATATGATCCAAAAATGAAGCTGCATAGAGTCATAGACCCAGCTTGCTACAAGTTACTAATGTAACTTTTATAAGGTTTAATGATAAACTTATTTTTTTTAAAATTATATCATTTATTTAACTTATGAATATATTATTTAAAATCATAAAATTTATCATCAATATAGAATATATTAATTTTTCATCAGTTTTTCAATAAAAAAATTAAATATTTAATTAAAAAAATCTATCTTTTACTTTGTTCTTAAGTTTATTTTTCACTGTCTATATAGATAGAAGTGATGTTTCAACCATAACAATTAGAACAATAAAGTCAATTATAAGTTACATGTTTTTTTAGTAACTATATATTTAACATAATAAATATATTTTATTATAACAATTTTTTAAAGAATCAATAGAGAAGTAAGGGCCAATGCCCTACCCATCACACGTAAATATTGTTAAAAGATGCTAATATGTTGATATTATCTTATGTCATATCAATAAAAAATGATTTCATGATGGCATTATCTCATACCACATCAGTAATGATTTCACTCACTGTACATTATTCCTTCTATTTTTAACATGAACATATTTAAGAGAAGAAAATATACTCTAAACCTTAATCGTGATCTATCCTATCCCATTAATTTTAGTTGTAGTCTCTTTAGGAGTTATATTAATTGCAATCTTAAAGATGTTGAATTATTTTCACATTGAGGAAAGATATGGTTATTTAAGCAATCCCTACATTAGAAGTTATGTTTAATAGGATTGACTGTTCTTATATTATAAATCAATTTTGTAGAGCTTAATAAGTTCTAAGTCAAAAATTCCAAAAAAAAAAAAGATTAATTATTGGTTAATTTCCCTAACTAATAATTACATGTTATTTTAGTGTTAACAACTTTTAATAGAAAATCTCAACCTTAAGTAAAGTTTTAACACGTAAGTTATTTGGGCTTAAAAAAACTAAAGTGAAGTAATATTAGTTTTAAGTCGGCTAAGATGCATTTTTTGTTTATACAATGTGTGTGGTCATATAGAGTTGAATGATAAAAAAAAAAGTGAAGGAAGAATAAGAGAATGCATTTATTTGTTATTTAAATTTATATATCTGTTCGTTCCTACTCACCTTTCTTCTTTTATTTCATGTATTTTTTTTTAAATTTTCATTTATGTAAATTCAATTTTTTATTCTCGTCTCTATGCTGACATGGCATGTGATGTGATGGATGTACCATTATGCTAGTGTGCCACATGATTATGTTGACCTTACCAACTATTATACTATCAATAATTATATTAAATATATATTTTTAAATTAAATTTTATATTATCTTAAATATTTGTCAAATTTTATTAAAATTAAATAATAATAATATTTTAATATATTTTAAAAAAATACATACTATGTCAATTTTGATATATTTAAATGAGATATAATTTTTCTAGATTAAGATAAAAAAAATTATATGATCTAAGTGAAAGAAACTTTCAATTTAACAATGAGTTATAAAAAAAATTATTTAATTGAATTTTTTTTTAAGATTACGAATATCCTCAATCGAAGAAATCCTATTTGTGCTGAGTAGGATGCTCATAGATGATAAAGCTCTTCCTCTAAATATTTTAAATAATTACAGACCTAAAAATCAAATTGAAAATCGCTAATTAAGTTAAAACAAATTTTGGAGCAATTGATTTATGTGATCGTGAGTGTCACATGATGTAAAATGAAAAACAATTAAAACATGTTTGTTTTCGTGCAGGAAAAAGAGAGGAGATAAGGATGATGTGAGAGGTATATATATATATATATAAATGATAAGAACGGGTACAAACAATGGACCTACATGGTCATGACTTATACAAGCTGTCATACACACTTATTGTATATTGAGGGCAGACAGTACGAAAAGTAGATTCCCATTTTTATCCTTTTTTGATGATGAGCTCGTGACTAGGAGAGAGATTCGGATCTGATGCATCTGAATCGGAACAGCTGTCTATCATCAATTCAACATAGTAATCATCTTCGTCTTTATCTCCTAGATCATTAGCTGTTTGGAACTGCTCATCTGGCACGTAATATTCAGTTCTGCTCATGAAAGCATTGATACCCTGATGGCTTGATTGGCTAAGAATGAAAAGACTGTGTGATGAACTGGCTTCTCCTTGGTTCTCTTGCTGGATTTTTGCTTCCTTGAGATGGTTGATTAACTGTGCCTTGTAACTTTCATCTGGGGGATATATTTCAAAGGTTCCCCAAAAATAAGCTTCATTTTTTACCACAGTTGTCCTGTAGGTTTCTGGAAGTAAGGACGCCTGATGATAATAATAGAGGTTAAAGACTCACATTGTTCTCTGGTCCTTCCCATTTGATTCTTTTGAAAATCGAGAACCTTTTTTAACTCACTTCTCCACCATGGGAGAGGCGAAAACCATTCTAATAAAGTCCAGAATAAAAATTCTGCCTTGTCTGGATTTATCAGAATATTGTAGGCTGATTGTGTCTTCAAAGCAATTGCAATTGGACTTTGGACAGTTTTGCACCATATAGCCCAAAGAGTTGGCTCACATAAATCCCAACCAATTTCACAGAATAATTCAAATATTCCAGGATGTTCTTCTGTAGGATCAAACATGGTTGGAGGGACTACTTTAAACCTTAAAGTCTCATGAAGATAATAAAAATAATGAGATCTGGCGAATTGAATAATCTCTTCAGGACTGTTAGGTTTAAAACCAGGAGGATATAGCTTT